ACCGGCCGGGAGGCCGGTTTGTATTGTCTAATGACAAAAACACTGTGAATGTTGTATATAAAGGCATTCTGTAGTATATTTAGTATGTTCAGGGGGTATCTTTTGAAGATTTCCCCTTTTCGATAATAATCTAAACAAAACAAAAATATATTTAGTATCAGCATTGCACCCGTGCGAAGCTGGGGCGGGTCACTAGTATTATATAATATGATGAATGCAAGTTGTTCACATTGACCTTTGAAGGTATTATAAGCTTAAAAAGGGGACAAAGAGACATTCTATGGATGCCTTTTAATTCTTTAACCGAAGAGTCTTCACGGACAACTAATTTAAGTTTCAGCTGTTTATTTTACAAGATTATACTTCACGTATTAGGCCGGGAACTGTTGACAAGTGTGGTTCCTGATTTTTAACGCTTGACCCTTTGGGGGTTGATAATTTACCCCTTGATAACAAAGATATGAAGGTTCTTGTTCGATGCACGTTTTCCGGTCATAGTGAGAATTAACATTTTATTTTTAGAATAAATTGTGCTTTCTTGTGGCATTGTATTGTATGCTTTTGTAATATAAGATAGTTAGAGGTGATTGAATGTCTAGCATTGAAGCCCAAAGGGCTCTAAGAATCAAGTGAATGGGTAAATTATTAACCCCTAAAAAGTCATGCGTTATAAAATCGGAGAACCAAATCTGTCACTAGCTCCCTCGCGGTCTTCAAAAAAAGAAGGTCCAATGATGCGTTCACCAGACATTGCAGCCCACGCAATAACTTTTAGACAATGTAGTGGTTGTTCACGTTTATGTCTTGACTATTCTTTGGCCCAGTAGCCTGTTTGTTTATGTGCCCATTTAGGTGATAGTTCGCTTCGTCACTAAACACAGTGTTTTCAAACGTTGGAAAGCATTCGAGCATTTCATTTGCAAAATTCAGTCGGAGAGGATAATTGATAATGTTAGTGTTTGAACTAACTGATTTTTGTAGACTGTAAGATGTAAATCTTGCTTCAAAATCTTCTGTAACGACGATTTTTTAATGTCAAGTTCTTGACTGCGTTTGCGAACTGATTGAGACGGATTTTCACGCATTACACTCTTATTTCTTCAATCGTTTTTTGGGTTCGACAGAGCGCGAGTGACTTGGATTGTGAATTTTTGCAATCAGACCGGTATTTTCGAACATTCGAATCCATTTTCTGATGGTATCGTCCTTCGGTGCATTCCGTACATTCAATTTTGCCCGATATAATCGTTGAGTTATGATCATTGGATCACCATTGCGATAATAGGCGCGTACGCAAAAAGCACGATGGTCTCCCGGGTACACTTCCATGGTCATTAAATCTCTAAAAATTAGTGAAACAGCCCATCCCTATAGCACCCCTCCCCACAGATAATCTTTCATTCTCTTCTGTCTTCACTTCGTCTGTCTCATCTTTCTCGTCCGTACCACCTCCCACCCATTCCCACGATTCCTGAAAGTAGACTGAAGAGTGTCTTCCGTCCTATCTTTAGGCGTAGTCCGGAGGGACTGAAACACCCAAAAGCTTTTTTGTTTATTTCTTGAATTAGGCACAGGTAATAGACAATTAGACGTATTCTGTGGTTAAAAGTGGTCAACCTAGAGAATTTTCATATTATGACCAGTGTTCTCAAAGATGTTTGGAGTGTTCTATGTATAATATTTGAAATTTTCCCAGTTTGGTTGATAAGGGTGTGAGGGTCGACTAGTGATCAACAAATACAATTTTAGAATAAGTGAGAATGCACAATGCACTACAATGTCCTTAAGTGTTTCAAGCTTTCACCTGAACTAGAATGTTCTCCAATGTTCAGTATTGTACTCCGGTAGAATGTTACAGAGTAAACAACGGAAGAATAGGAACATTGATGAAAACCTAATTTAGCTATCTAAAGAAGTTCAAATAAAGCCAACGATACGTTTATCATCGTCAGTCCTAAGACTGGTTGAACACGCACCTCCACTCTTTCCTATTCTGAGTTAATCTTCGCATTTCCCTATAACTAGAAAAACCCACATCCTTAACTATTTCCGAACAGTAATCTAATCTAGGTCTACCTCTAGCCCCCCTAACTTCCGTTTCTGTCTCTAATACGTCTCTCGCCTATTTCTTATTGACTTCCATATAGTCTTCTGTTCTCCTATTCTTTCTAATATGTCTTCCTTTTTTAACCTTCTCTATCTATGGTATCCTCGTTATTCGCCTGTAACACCACATTTCGAATGCTTCTAACCTTTTCTTTTCCGCCGCGTTCACTGATATGTTTCGCACCCATACAGCGCCGCGCTCCAAACACACTTTTAACAACCTTTTTCGAATTTCTAAATTAACCGTTCGCGAACAATTTCTAACGTGTTTTGTCCATTCCTTACAATTTCCTCTTGTTCATTTGAATTATAGACGGGATTAATATCGATGAAATGTACTATTTTTTTTTTTAATTTTTTGTACCAGGTACCGCTGTTTGTAACGGCGACAGTGGTGGTGGCCTGGTATTCCCAAAAATAAACGATAAAGAGAAATGGGTCCTTCAAGGCATAGTAAGCGTTAGTCCGAGACGTCGTGGAACATCCTTTTGCGATCCACAATACTACACCGTGTTTACAAAGGTTGGCATGTATATTGATTGGATTAGTGATGTACTTAAAAAGATACCAATTGATGTGCACCCGAATGATAACGTTATTGATAAGAATGCCTTATAAAATTCCATATGTAGGCCTGATACCAATTATCATGTTATTGCAAACAAAAAGCGTCGTGTTATTGAATACGTAAGGTATTAATGTACATGAATTGAAATAATAAAGTTATTTAGCATTTACTGAAAGTTTTGGTATCTTATAGGAATTTTAGATTTGTTAGCTGTAGTTGACTCATAGGTATTACGTTGTAATTTTAATATTATTATTTTAAAATTGTTGGTAACTGCGAGCTTTAGTTCAAAAGCTCTCCGTACCATGCTCGTCGATTGCGCCAGCAGTCGCTAAGTCCTGCCTCTACTGATCAACAAACTGGAAAATTCCGCAGTTGTTTAATGTTTTCCAGCGTTAACGTGTTTTCTTGAAATCGTTTTCGAAAAATTGCAACTTTTGGCGGTCCGGGTAGCAAAATATTTAGCGAAATCGAAAGCGAAAAATTTTATAACTTTTAATTTTATTGTCCAGGTTTTATTTAAAAACTGCACAACTGAGTGCATTTAAGTGAGTTTTGATAGTAAACATTTGTAACAATTATAGCATTTTTTTAGTTTTAAAATAAAATGAAAGTACTAGATATTTTAGATTTTTGCCAACTGTATTTCTGTTTTTATTATTTATTACATAAACATTTGCCTGGACACTTTCTTTAACAGTTGGAAAGAAATTATTGCAATATTTTGTTATTAGCAATAATTAATGAAAGCAACGCGTGAGTTTTGTACATAAGAAGTAATTTTTGCAATTATTTTCTTAATTTGACTTTAAGAAATGTTTCATTGTTTCGATGATAAACCCATTTCAGATAATCATTGCTTTTTTGATGTTTAAAAAAATACATAATATGTTGTACAGGCAGCGTATAAAATGTAAAAAGTATGGGAGTGTTTATCGATTTATAACATGCTCAGTTCGACCTTTCAATGGCAGTTTTCCCACAATTTAGCGGATAATTCGTTACTTATCTATGGTTTGCCCAGTTGTCAATTTTTGAGTTTGCTATGGTTTTGTTCACCTACTAAATATCTCTCATCTATAGTCATCTATATATGATCTATGGTTTGCTTTAGTATANTCAGCAAGTAGATATCCATATATTTAAATGGACCTTGTTGGAGCATACGTAATCCTAAAATGTAGCATCGTACTACAGATGGCGTTTACCGCGCCATTTGTGGTATTTTCTAAAACGCGTTGTTAAGACAGCAGGTAAAAGTTGATCTGTGTTCTGTCGCAGCTGCCTGCGACGCGCTGATGAGATCCAAATAGATCGAAATCGCGATCCGCGTCCGGCAGTTTCGACAGAATACAGACCACTTGGAATTATTTTATACTACACATAATGTTTAGATTACTTAAATTAAATAAGTTCATTACAGACAGTACTAAGTAAACGTCCGAACACAAAAGAAAGAAGAAATGTATGTTACGTAAGCATTAGTAATTGTAATTTTATTATGCCAAATTTCTACACTACTCTTGAGGTATTGAAAGGTGAGTCACTTTTTTGCGAGAGGTGGTAAGCCAAATTGCCCAACAATTTTCTCTTGAAAACGGTGAACTTTTGACATAAAAACATTTGCTTACTTTTCATGTTTTTTATAGTGCCTATCACCTCCTACAAACGCGGCACTTATTTCTATTACATCCTGTAGTTTTAATTTTAAATTGATGTGTAACCATTACATATGCTATGATGGTGGTACGGTCTTGTATGCGGTGGTCGCCATAAGTCAATGTTTATAAGCGAAACTTTGGGATATTGTTAAGGAAATACACAATTTCAGTGATTTTTCTCTACATTATTGATCAGGGAGGTAATCGAAATTATTAAAAAAAATTGTGCGAAAAAAGTGGGTGAAACAAGTGTCTGCGTGGGCCAAAAATAGCCATTATTAGTCACTCTCTTTTGAAAAGACAATTATAGAAAGTTCTCACAATATTTTAGAATGCGGCACTAGGAAACCAGAAGCAACGGCGCTTATAATAAATGGTAGTGTATCAAAAATAGGTAGGTGGCCATGGCACGCCACTCTGTATATCCTAGAAGGGGGAGACTGGACTTATTCGTGCGGGGGAAGTTTAATACACGAACGTGCTGTTTTAACTGGTAAGAACGAAATTCAGTATATATTTAAATAATAACAAGTTCTTCCCCCCTATCAGTCACTGTGAGCTCAAAACTGTTAGCACCATTGCTTTGATTAGCACCCTTGCTTTGAGCGGTCGAAATTCACTTTTGTGAACAATTTGTTTTAATATCACTTTCCTTGTGTTAAAAATTGTTTGAAAAATTAAATTTAAACTGTAGGGATAAATATAGAGGGGCAAAAAATTAGTATGCTTAGATTTTCAGCTGATATAGCAATATTAGCATCTAGCAAGGAGGAGTTAGAGATAGCTTTTAATAAAATGGAAGCGATATTGAGAAAACAATATTGTATGAAAATAAATAAAAGTACCTAAAACAAAAACACCGGTATGCAAGGGAAGAAAATGTATGCAAAAGGCGAATATAAAGATAGGAGACAAAAAATTAGAAGTACCTGATTTTCGGTATTTCGAAAGTCAGATAGGTCAGGCCGGAAGGAGTAATAAGGATATAAAGCAGAGGATAGCGCAGGGTCGAGTCGCCTTCAATAAAAAGATGTTACTTCTATGCTCGCGAACGGTTAATTTAGAAATTCTAAAAAGACCGTGAAAGGTATATATTTGATGCGTGGCGCTGTACAGGTGCGAAACGTGAACAGTGGGCGAGGCAGAAAATAATAGGTTAGAAGCGTTCGAAATGTGGTGTTATAGGCGACTGATGCGGACCGTCGATAGAGAAGGTTAGAAATGTAGAGTTATTAGTAGTGGATAGAGAAGGTTAGAAATGAAGAGGTATTAGAAAGAATAGGAGAATGGAGGAATGGAAGTCAATAAGAAATAGGCGAGATAAGTTGGTAGGACACCTGAGGCATGAACGGCTAGTTAGAGACATATTAGAAACAGAAACTAGATTTAAGAGGAGTAGAGGTAGATCTAGACTAGATTACTGTTCGCAAATGGTTAAGATATGGGTTGTTCTAGTTTTAAGGAAATGCGAAGATTAGCTCAGGATAGGAAAGAGTGGAGGTGCGTGTCCAACCAGGTTTAGGATTGATGATGAATGTAAAGGGTTTCAAGCCCGTTCAGTGTGCTTGAAGCGGCTTCAAATTAGTTAGGGATTTATATTTGTTTGCTATTGTAACTGGTAATTCGAAGTCCTTGGATTTTAAAATGTAATTGGAGCTTCAAGGGTTCAAGCACTTTCAGTAAGGGCTGTGTTTGATAATATTATTAAATTATATACCTACATATTATATCTCTAATAAGGCTCATCTTTACGCTATGCTTACGGTCACTGTAAATAAGACGCCATTTTATCCATTTAACATTCATTGTGACTATTTACCATAACACCATGAGTTCTTCTTGCTGTATTTCAGTGTATACCTTGCAATTATTTCAAATAAACTGTCTTATATAAAAAGAAACATAAGTTTTGAACTCTTCTACATTTTAGTAAATTATGCGCCTTCTAACGTTATTTTCATGGTGTTGAAAATTAGTATTGTATTATCGAGTTGAAATTGTGGTTTTAGCTGGCCACTGCGCCTGGCAGATGGAGCCACACACTATTAAAGTTGCGTTGGGGAAGTATTTCAGCGATTATAAGATGAAACAGGACTTTACGGTATTTGCAGAGATTGATAAAATTATCACGCAGCCCCTGTATCAGGATTTGAATGGAAATTTTGGATCTGATATAGCGATTCTGATACTGAAAGTTGCAATTCAATATTCCGATTTCATTAAACCAATTTGTTTGGATTGGAATTTGTATGACATTACTGAACATCTGACGGAAAACAGTATAGGAACTGTAAGTTAAAAAAGCATTTTAGTAGTGTTTAATTTAATAGTGGTGAACAGGATCTGCAAGACTTTTGATAGGACACGATTTGTGGCTTTATGATGTCGTTAGTACCCTAAAAATTCAAAACACTGAAACATGATGAATTGAAGAGTTTACACATTTTAGTTTTCAGTTTGAAATTGAGATATACGTCTGATAGCTTCGATAAATTTCTTACCGAAAGCTTGAACTGTTACTATGTAATAAAGTTCTACGTATACAGGGTGTTTATAACATGTGACTAACTTTGGAGAGCGTTAACTAAATGCAACAAGGAAACTCACGATGAGTTCTGTCGCATAGTGTTCGTAATTTCCAAAATAATATTTTTCATTTTTCCGGAATTAGGTATGCGTAATTTTCAAAACGCAAAAAAATTTGTAAGAAAATTAGACGAAGTTGCAATCCGAAACCGGCCCTGGGCGTGAATATGCAACGAACCTATAGAGAAATTGAGATAACAATCAAGCAATTGCATCAACGAAAAATGTGAACAGTGACGGTTGTGAAACGAATAATAAAGTAAATATCAACAGGAACACAAAATAAAAAAGAAATACTTAAATGCGACGTTGTAATGTAGTATTTCCTTACGTGAATCTCCCTGGGCCGGACTGATCTTTGACTGTACTTTTAAATACGTTCTTCTCGAAAACGGTGGACTTTCGGACCACTAAACATTGAGTTAATTTTCATGTTAACGAGGCAAAATTATGGAGTTAACGGATTATTGAGACATTTACTTCGTATGGTGAGTAAAGCAGCATGATTAAGGGATAAAAAATTCGTAAGAAAACTAGACGGAGTCAGTTGCAATCGGAAGCCGGCCCTGAGCGTGAATAGGCAACGTATAGAGAAATTGCGATAACAATCAAGCAAATACATCGACGAAAAATGTAAACAGTAACGGTTGTGGAACGAATAATAAAGTAAATATAAACAAGAACACAAAATACAAAAGAAATACTTGAATGCGATGTTGTAATGTAGTATTTCTTTACGTGAATCTACCAGGGCCGGACTGGTCTTTGACTGTATTCTCAAATTCGTTTTTCTCGAAAACGGTGGACTTTCGCACCACTAAATATTTAGTTAATTTTATTGTTTTATAGTGCACTTTCACCTCCTGCAGGCTTGTTACATATTTTAGAAACGTCCTGTATAAGTCGAACTAATAAAAATTGCCATTTGCCCCGATTGAATGTGTGGTGTCCCCTTCAAATAAAGTTCTATATAACTTTCTATACAATTTTCGTCTCTGTCGGATATTTACGCATCTACTATTTGTGAATTGCGAATCGATATCTAATTTCGTTTAGAAAATTAAATTAATAAACTTGTGCATGATTTGTAGGTGGTTGGAATGGGGATAACAGAAGACGATAAGTTCAGTTTACAATTACGAGAAGTGAAAATACCTGTAGTTAGTGCGAAAAAATGTATTAACGTTCAAAGCCGTGATTTTAAAAAGTTTATTACTTATACATCGTTCTGTGCTGGCTGGAATAATGGTTAGTACAACAAAAAAAGTTAAAAACTTTAAACTGTATGTTATAAGATACCACAAATGGCGCGGTAAACGCCATCTGTAGTACGATGCTACATTTTAGGATTACGTATGCATCAACAAGGTCCATTTAAATATATGTACTTGCTGAAACGAATCCCGGCGTAGCTAACCTCAAGGTGATAGGCACGTTACCATAATCGAATAAAATAATTCGAAGTGGTCTGTAGTCTGTCGAAACTGTCAGACGCGGATCGCGATTTCGATCTTTTTGGATCTCATCAGCGCATCGCAGGCAGCTCGACAGAAAACACACCAACTTTTACCTGCTGTCTTAACAGCGCGTTTTAGAAAATACCAGAAATGGCGCGGTAAACGTCATTTGTAGTACGATTATTCGATTATGGTAACGTGCCTATCACGTTGAGGTTAGCTACGCCAGGATTCGTTTCAGCAAGTAAATATCCATATATTTAAATGGACCTTGTTGGAGCATACGTAATCCTAAAATGTAGCATCGTGCTACAGATGGCGTCTACTGCGCCATTTGTGGTATTTTCTAAAACGCACTGTTAAGACACCAGGTAAAAGTTGGTCTGTGTTCTGTCGGGACTGTCTGCGACGCGCTGATGAGATCCAAAAAAATCGAAATCCTGATCCGCGTCTGGCAGTTTTGACAGAATACAAATCACTTCGAATTATTTTAGTTGTATGTTATAAAACAATCGAATTAGTTCAGGCGGTATTTTCATGAAAACGCCTATGTTTGGATAAAGAGGGTAGTATGCTAGATTTTTGTTGGAATCACTTCCAAAAGTCATGTGTTGTAAGTGCTAAGACTATTGAACTCCTTGGCAAAAAAACAGCCTTGATATCCTTATATTTTTATTGTAAATTGAGTTCATGTTTGCGCTGTTATAACTCCAGTTCAAATAAGCGTATCACAATAAGTTTTTTTAAGAAAGAAACGTCTTTTCGAGTAATTTCAAAATGTGTTTCGAGAATTAAAGTTGGTCCAGTGTTAGCGAAGTTATCACATTGGTTTATAACTTAAAAAAATTGCCAGATTTTTGAACAATTCCCTAGGCTATCCAAATCATCGGTTTGCAATTTGGTAAAATGGGTTTGAAAATATAAGGGCCCCTCTGCATGTCAAAAATTTGCACACCTTAAAATACTTTTATTTGGCCTTAACAACAATTTGAAAATTTGCATTCTTTTTTACGCAGCATAAATTGTTATTATTATTATGCAATAGTTATACATTTGATCTTGACAAAATTTAGTTTGACTATTTACCATATCAAAAAGTTTTCTTTAGGCAAGTAAAGGTGTATTTAGAAGCGTTCGAAATGTGGTGTTATAGGCGGATGATGAGGATATCGTGGGTAGAAAAGGTTAGAAATGAAAAGGTATT